GATTGGATCTCAGGTTATCTTTTGCCTCTGAATGCACTGTTGCACATCTCTCTCCCTGCAACACACACACGCATACACACACAGAGGCATACACATGTACACTCACACACATACACAAACATGCAAATAATAAATACAATGTTTTACGGAACCATAAGGACTGAAATACAGCATTGACAATGGCTCAGAAACAGCACATCTAAAAGAGGCCTGCTTAAATTTTTGTTTCAATTTTAGACTGTCAAACTATGGTAGAGTTAGTTGGCTTGGAATTCCCTAAACAGACTGAACTCGCCTTGAATTCACAGTGATCCACCTGCCTAAATCTTTAGATCTATCCTGACACACTTCCAAACACCTGCAATTCCAGGTGGCAAGAGGATTTGAATTTGTGGCTAACTTGGGAAACAAGTCATCTTGTTTCCCCATTTCAAAACAAGTAATATATTTTAGGCACACACACACACACACACATATATAAAACAAATAAGCTATCCTTAAAACAATAAAAAAGTTCCCCATATTTAAATGTTGACACTGAGACAATTTGCACGTGAAACATTTTTTAAAATGTTGATTTAATTGTGTGTGCCTTTTACTTATTTATTTATTTATTTGGTTTTTTCGAGACAGGGTTTCTCTGTGTAGCCCTGGCTGTCCTGAAACTCACTCTGTAGACCAGGCTGGCCTCGAACTCAGAAATCCGCCTGCCTCTGCCTCCCAAGTGCTGGGATTAAAGGTGTGCGCCACCACTGCCCAGCAATGTGCCCTTTATTTAATTGTATATGTGTGTGCCTAAATGTATGTATGTGCTTCATATACATGCAGGAGCCCGTGGAGGCTGGAAGGGACATCAGATTCCCTGGAACTGGAGTTAAAGACAGCTGTCAGCTACCATGTGCGTGCTGGGAACTAAACCCAGGTCTTTTGCAAGAGCATGTACTCTTAACCACTCAGCAATTTCTTTAGTTCCCTGCACACATAAAGGTTTTAAATACTGGTTCTCATTTGTAAAATGAAAACATAGATCCCCCTTCAATGTCCAACAACAGCAGTCAGTTAAGTAAGTGACCCTCCTTATAATAGCTGAGATTATGGTGTGTATCACTATGCCTTTATGTTTTGTTTTAGAACTTTTATTTTTTCACAGTCCAGTTGTTATCCACCCTCCCTGTCTGCCCCCCTATAGATCCTTATCCCATTCCTCCTCCTCCCTGTCTCCTAGAGGAGGTTCCTCCCACCTCCCTAAGTTTTGGTTGTAATATTTCTATGTATTTGTGTGTCTGCTGCATGTGTATGGGTGCCTGAGATGGCGGTAATAGTAAGAATACAGCCCAGCCTGTCTTGTGATGATGCAGTGAAAATACAGCATCTCTGACAGCCAGCCCTCTCAGATGCTGTATTGCAGAGGCCTTTGGACTTCCCAGGAGCCAGAACTGTGAGCTATAAAGTTGTTTATAAATTACTGTATTTTGCTACATCAGTTTTAGTGTGCTACAGCCTCCAGGCTCTGGGCTAGGGAAGATGCTATCTCATTTATTGAAGGCAGTGTGAGGGTGGAGGAAGCTCAGCAACAGACGCTGGATGTGGAGGGAGATGTCAGGTGGGCTGCTCAGAGTCTGGAGCAACACTGTCTGACAGAAGTGAGCCACTGTGAAGGAGCTTCAGCTGTCACCAAAGAAGCTGTCCCTAGAGGGAAAAGCTGGGATTGTAGCTCAGTGGCAAAATGCTTGTCTTGAATGATGAGACCCTAGGTTTAATCCCCAGTATTGCCAAAAGAGAAAAAAAGAAAGGAAACCCAAGCCGAGGGCAACACATGGGTAATGTCAAGTAGCCGTGCAGGCTAAAAGAATGTTGATGGAGGAGAAAGGGAGAAATCAGGCCAAGAGAAAGAGGCCAGAGAAGCTCTGACGAAGAAGTGTGGTCAAGAAAATGCATAATGGTTAGGAGAGGTCTACAGAATGCCCTTCAGGCCAGCAACAAAAACAGTGTTGCAGACAAGTGTGGTAACAGGTGCCTGTAATATCAGCATTCTAAAGGCAGAAGCAGGAGGCTCTGAAGTTCATGGTATCAATCTCCAGAGTGTAATATAAGCACTTGGGAAAGGCAAAAGAACCAGAAGTTCAAGGACAGCCTGGGACACATGAGACTAACTGGAAAAAAAAAAAAAAAAAAAGCCGGGCAGTGGTGGCATATGCCTTTAATCCCAGTACTTGGGAGGCAGAGGCAGGCAGGCGGATTTCTGAGTTCGAGGCCAGCCTGGTCTACAGAGTGAGTTCCAGGATAGCCAGGGCTATACAAAGAACCCTATCTCAAAAAGAAAAAAGAAATAGGTAGTGATAGAAAAAGACACTCCAGATCAACCTCTGGCCTCTACATGAGAACTTAGATATACCTCCCCCACATACATACATATCCAACCTCCTATTAGTTCTGTAACTGGCCAAGTTAACTCTATTCCAGTGACTCTCAAACTTCCTAATGCTGTGACCCTTTAATACAGTTCCTCATGTTGTGGTGGAACTGTAACCAACCATAACATTTTGCTGCTACGAGCTGTAATGTATGCAGGATATCTGATATTTGACCCCTATAAAAAGGTCATTGACTTCAAAGGGGTCGAGATCCACACGTTGAGAACTGCTGCTCAGTGCCCTCATGTCCATGAGCAGCGATGCTTTTAGCCTATTTTGAATGCATTTATGAATTTAAAATTTCTAAAGAGCTGAGATAGAACCGGGTACCTGGCTCTATTTATATAAAATAATTGGAACTGGTTATTGATCTTGGTTTTGTGCATGCCAGGCAGGCACTAACATTCTCAGGCCATCTCTAATTTATTTTTTGAGCAGGGTCACCTTTTATGGTTAGATAGGCTGGTTAGCAGATGCCAGAGATCCTTCTGTCTCAGCTCCCCCAACCCCCAGTGCTGGAGTTACAGTTATGTGCTGCCACCCTATGCTTTCTATGGGGATATTGGGGATCCAATTTGATATGGTTATACTCAATTATAATTTGTATAAGCACCACATAGGTGTTGATTCCACTGCAACAGCAAATTGTACTAACTGTCCCTGCTGCTGCTGCACTCAAACTTCTGTTCGTAAGCTCACATTTAGTGGTGTTAGGGCCTTGTGTGCACCCACCACTGAGCTACATTCTTCCTCCAGTTAGTAATTTCCAACACTATTATATGCCAGGCAATGCTTTAGGTACCAAGAATAAAGCAGACAACAGTCCCTGCTCTGTCTGGGGAAGGGGCAAATTAACGATAAACGGCCAAGAAAAGTACTAGGCAAGTGATACCTAAGGGTGTAACCTAGGGTGCAATTGTAAGACTCTTAGTGGCACTTTACACCACAGGGCTGAGGATAGCCCATACAGATAGATTGGACTGACAAAGAGAAGCCATATCAACGTTGTTGGGAGTCACCAATGTCATTTCACACTCACAGCTCATCTTTTTGTCTCCTCCCAAATGCCTTTAGCTTGCCCTGCTTGGACATTTCCAGGGTCTTCCTCATACCATCCTTCTTTTTTTTTTTTTTTTTTTTTTCGAGACAGGGTTTCTCTTGTAGCCCGGGCTGTCCTGTCATACCATCCTTCTTATCCCAAGAGTCTCCCTTGGCTCCGTACTATATAGTTCAAGGTATGTCCTGCCCTGACTAGAGAGCACTTGTGTGTAGCTGTGGCTATCTACCGCATCGGGAAGGCCTTAGTAAGCATCACGCAGTGACTATTTCTATATCTCCAAAGGCCGGTGTTCAGATAGAAAACTTGGGGACCTAACACATCCCACTTGAGTTAAAAATCTCCCGAGGTTGTAGTCAGGTGTGATGGCATACACCATTAATCCCAGCACTAGGGAGGCAGGAGCAGGGGTTATCTCCGAGTTCGAGGCCAGCCTGGTCTACAGAGTGAGTCTCAGAGCAGCCAGGTCTACACAGAGAAAATCTGTCTCAAAAAATAAAATCAAGTAAAATCTCCTAGGTTGGGCCAGGCGTGCCGATCCAGGTCGAGGCTAGCCTGGTCTACATAGTGTGCTCTAGAACAGCCAGAGTAAATAATGAGGCCCTATCTCAACCCACGATAAAATCTCCACAGGTGATTTTTAATCGATATTGTCAGCTGCTGATGGGCACCGTATGCTACGCTTGGAACCAGTTAGTTGCAATGCATTTAAAGCAACCCTAGACAACTCTCTTGTCTTCCCGCCATGGAGGAAGGAACTTGTGAGTGACCCAGGCAGGCCGAGTACTTCTCCCCACCACACACCAGGAAGTCACCTCTCTGAACCTGGAGTTATACCTACCGCGTGAGGTCACTGAGATTAAATGGACTGATTGTGCACTGCTCACACACACACGCGCGCGCAATTGCTTTTATTAGGAGCTCTCAGGAAAGCGGTGGCTCGCATCAGGCCACCACAGCCAAGAGGTGTGTTCTCGGTTGCACGGAGGGCAGGCCGAGGCCCGCTAATAGGCCCGAGTCAACTCTAGGCCTTCCGGCGCTCTCCAGCAGGACCGGGAGGTGAACACTCTAGGCCTCTGCGAAGTCCACCGTGGGGTGCTGGCTTCCGCAGCGCGGGGAAAACCCCTGAGAAACGCCCAGACCACCTGAGCATAGACGTCCATGCTGCGTCCGAATACTTGAGGGAATCCGGGCCATGCCGCCACCTACTCGCGCCTCACACAAGCCGCGCCAAACTCTGGAGTTTCACTGCGCAGGCGCGTGGCGAGCGGGCCGCTCAGGAACACTCAAAGGACCTGCACACTGACCAGTCAACGTCCGCCTTGGCCCAAACTAGTCCCGCCCCCAGGAGCAGACGTCAGGGCCCGCCCCCAACAGCCCCGCCCTCCCCACGCTTTAGGCCCGCCCCACGCTGGCCTGGGTTAAGGCTCGCGGTTGGCTCGGAGGACGGACGCGAGCTCTGGTTGGTGGAGGTGAGGTCACGAGGACACCTTCGTCGCCTTTCCAGAGGCGATTACTGGGCAGGCTCAGTCTTTTGCCTCAGACGCTAGCTGTAGCTGGCAGGCGGTTGTACGTGCTCCAGAGTCCTCAATACCCGTCGCTGCAGTCCGCTTCGCGTGGTTCCGCTAAGCTCTTCTGAGCTGCTCGCTCTCCACCCGCGCCTTCGCCGTAATCCGCCATCATGGTGAAACTCGCAAAGGTAAGAGGCCTTGCGCGCGGACACGGACCACTAGGCCTGCTTTCCGAGGGACGCGCGCGCGCCCGTCGCGGAGGGGAGGAGGGCCTGCGCGCAATCCCGGGCGCGTTCGAGGGCGCCATGCTGGGGGAAATCTCGCGCGACTAGCGGGAGGTCTCGCGGTTTTTGCCCTCTGACTTGGTGGGGGAATGAGAAGAGCTGAGGCAGGTTCCGGGAGGGCGATGTCGAGTGGTCGAGTGCACCGGGCGGGAAGGGTCGGTGTGAGGAGAAATTGGAGGAGTTTTTGTGCAGGCCTGGCGTGTGAAAAGAGGGCCAACCTCAAGCGGCTAGCGCTCCCGGGGCCCCGCCTCCCCGCGCACGTGCTCCGGTGCGCGGCCCGCCACGTGGGTTGCGGCGCTCCGCACGTGTCGCGTGTCCGGGACGGTGGGGGAGTGTCTGTACACCGCGGAGGGGGACAGCAGGGTGGGCTTAGGTGGGTTGCCCTGCGATCCGCTGTCTCTGGCCGTGACGGGTAGATCGGCACGTGGTGGGCTCAGGGAGCGCGTGGTGACCTGCCTGGTGGCTCCACGTGGTTCGGCTGTAAGCGTGAGAAAGTCGGAAGTTTGGTTACAGAGGTGCTTCTTTTAAGAGGTGCTTTCGCGATAACCCCCTCCCCCAGCAAATAATTTAGGGTGATGCAGTTTTTTTGCGGAAGGTGCGGGAAAATAAAGGGCCCCGACTCGTAGACTTTAAAAACCTGTGGCTGTTTCCTGGTGAAGAGTTATGCCTGCTCAGTTGTCTGTGAGAGGGGGAAGACAAATTCTGCGTGGTTCTCAGAAAAAAATTGCCTGAAGAGTGTCATGCCTTGTGTTCTTTAGACAGTGAGAGAACGTGGCTTAAAATGCGCATGTGAGTGTGATTTTTGTGTGCATTTGTAGGCCGGCAAAACTCACGGTGAGTCCAAGAAAATGGCTCCTCCCCCAAAGGAAGTGGAAGAAGATAGTGAAGATGAAGAAATGTCAGAAGATGAAGATGACAGCAGTGGAGAAGAGGAGGTAGGAAGCTGTTTGAAAAATGGTTTAAGATGCAGCAATAAAAACCAGTGGAATTGAATGTCTGGAAGTATTATCAGAAATACAGGATTCTAACGTAGTAAGTGATTGGCAAACAAACTCTTTGTTGCTCTTGATAGTAATTTTGAATTTTTGAGGATAATAGTCGATCTGGGAGGGTGTCTATTCTGTTTTGAATAGAGTTTCCTATAGATTTGTGGGGTTATTTTCCTCCTGTTTTTGGAAAACGACTTATTCTAGCTTATTTTTCATTCAGTCCATGGTCACTTGGTTTTGTGAATTTTGGCAGGACATGATGACACAGAGCTGTAGACCAGCCTCAGATAGTTTCTCCTGAATTAAGGTATTAGCCACAGTATTCAGCCATAGGACAGGAACTTTAGTAAGAAAGCCAGACTTATTTAGGTGGAGTCAGGGTCTCATAGCTTAGGTGGTACCATGTGGGTTTTTTTTCTTCTACGTACTAAGGGGCTAAGCTGGACACTATTTAGATGAGGGTAGTTTTTTTAAAATTCTTGTTCTCTAAGCAAAATTTATCATTTCCAGTAATCTTATCTTGCATGTTTTGACTTTTGCAGTACTGGTCCCTATCTATCCCGGATCATCGGCTTATTGTATGAATTCTAATGCCAATCATTGTTCAAAATACATTGTGTGGATAGAGAGCTGCTAATTGCCCATTTGCTAGATCTGACACTCTTAGGGACTATTTAAAGACAGTCTTTGCACAGAAGACAGAAACAGGAATTTTGAATTCCAGTGAGCTGGGAGTACATAGTGAAACCCTGTCTCAAGACAGGTTTTATGGTCACACTCAGATTGCTTAGAAAAGCTCAGGTGTTAAGAGTCTAGTTTAAGTGTTGAGCCATGTATCCTTATTTCAGGGCTTAACATTTATCTTTATGTGTGAGTGCATTAAGCATGCTTCTTGGTACCCTCATACTAGGATGTACTTGGATCCCCTGGATCTGGAATTACAACCATGTGTGGATGTTACATTTGTTACAAGAGTTAACATGTGCTCTGCTGAGCCATCTCTCCAGTTCTTGACTTTTTTAAACATATCTAATGTCCATCTTCTTGTGCTCAAAGTTAGTGTTAGTATCTTAACATAGCATTGGATATAGAGGAATGCTTATGATTTGTTTTATTTCAAGGTTGTCGTCCCTCAGAAAAAAGGCAAAAAGGCTACCACAACTCCAGCAAAGAAGGTGGTTGTTTCACAAACAAAGAAGGCTGCAGTTCCCACACCAGCTAAGAAAGCAGCTGTTACCCCAGGCAAAAAGGCAGCAGCCACACCAGCCAAGAAAGCTGCTACACCAGCCAAAGTAGTTCCAACTCCTGGTAAGAAGGGAGCAGCACAAGCAAAAGCATTGGTGCCGACTCCTGGAAAAAAGGGAGCTGTCACTCCAGCCAAGGGGGCTAAGAATGGTAAAAATGCCAAGAAGGAAGACAGTGATGAGGATGAAGATGAAGAAGATGAAGATGATAGTGATGAGGATGAAGATGATGAGGAAGAGGATGAATTTGAGCCACCAGTAGTAAAAGGAGTGAAGCCAGCAAAAGCAGCTCCTGCCTCAGAGGATGAGGATGAGGAAGAGGAGGATGACGATGAGGATGATGATGAAGAGGAGGAAGATGGTGAGTTAGAGCTTAGGATATTGAGAGTACTGCATGCGCATTCCCTGTTTCATGATTATATTAGAAACTCATATTAATAGGTTTTCATTTCCTCATCTAATTTTTTTATTAATATTTGTAGCATTTATGTTGTCTAGATTGGTAGCAAATGTATTTGCCTGCTGAGCTATCTTTCTTTCAGACTCTGAGGAAGAAGTTATGGAGATCACACCAGCCAAAGGAAAGAAAGCTCCTGCAAAAGTTGTTCCTGTGAAAGCCAAGAGTGTAGCTGAGGAGGATGATGATGAGGAAGAGGATGAAGATGAAGAAGATGATGATGAGGATGAAGAGGATGAAGATGAAGAGGAGGAGGAGGAAGAAGAGGAAGAAGGTAACCAAATTAACTTCTAAAGTATGCTGACCTAAGTAATGCTTAATGGAAATGCTAAAATGTCTGCCTACTCATGAATGACATTTTCAAACATCCAGAACCTGTTAAAGCAGCACCTGGAAAACGGAAGAAGGAGATGACCAAACAGAAAGAAGCCCCTGATGCCAAGAAACAGAAGGTAGAAGGTAAGCCTGCAAAACTGGGGGAAGCAAAGAGATCAGAGTAGCAATAGCACAAGTGATGAATGACAAAGGGACTTAATACTGAAACATGGGGTTGAAATGCAATATGCTGATGTGCTTTATATAGTTAGTTTATGATAATTCATTTGTCGTATGAAAAGTGGACTAAAAGTTTCATTTTCTGTGCAGGCTCAGAACCAACTACACCTTTCAATCTGTTCATTGGAAACCTTAATCCAAACAAGTCTGTTGCTGAATTAAAAGTTGCTATCAGTGAACTTTTTGCTAAAAATGATCTTGCTGTTGTGGATGTCAGAACTGGTACAAATAGGTAAGTTTTTCATTGAGTGTTGTATGTGTGTGAGCTAGTATTTTTACCTTCCAGTTGTGTTCTTCCATGCCCTTAAACATTAGCTACATTAATAAAGATCAGTTGTCATTTCTCATGACCTTAAGTACAGGGATGAATAAGGAACTACAGTAATAAAGATTAGACAGTAATGAACTAAATCATCAAATCAGGGTCTATAATTTGAAATTCCTTTGTTTGACTTGGTAGTGTCAAAAAGCAATTTTAAGAATTTGACATTTTGCGCAGTATCTATGACTAGATCTGCATAGTCATAGTGAATGCTTTGTTACCAAAAAGATTCTCAGTACTTACCAGGGTCCATGCCAGCTACTGCTGTTTGGTTACAGTACACTGAATGAAAAAAAAAAAAAAAACTGCCGGGCAGTGGTGGCCCATGCCTTTAATCCCAGCACTTGGGAGGCAGAGGCAGGTGGATTTCTGAGTTCGAGGCCAGCCTGGTTTACAGAGTGAGTTCCAGGACAGCCAGGGCTACACAGAGAAACCCTGTCTCGAAAAAAACTAAAAAAAAAAAAAAAAAGAAAACCAACGTGAATTTGTTGTGTCTTGATACATGTACTTGGTTTTATGGGAGATAAGAATGATCTAGTTTTGTTAGTGTTGTAGGTGCTGTCCATGTGAGTACCACATGGTACAAGTGTAGATCACCCTCTAATGCCTATAATCTTGTTTTTTCCATCTTCAAGGAAATTTGGTTATGTGGACTTTGAGTCTGCTGAAGACCTAGAAAAGGCCTTGGAGCTCACTGGTTTAAAAGTGTTTGGCAATGAAATTAAACTAGAAAAACCAAAAGGAAGAGATAGTAAGAAAGGTATGTAAAAGGGTCTGGGGTGACTGGATGCTAACAGACTTAGGAGGCAGTCTTGGTCCCTTCTTCTCTCTTAGTTTCATCCTCGTTGTGAACCAGTGAGTTGATATGCATCATGTGCTTGCTGACAAGTTTGATTTCTGGGATATATAATGTCAGAGCTGGCATGATGGATAGCTTAGTGAGTAAAGATGCTTGTGGCAAAAAGTTTGATCTCTAGAAGCCACATGAGGAGAAGAGACTGAGCCTGTTGTGGTAGTACACATCCAGGACTCCGGCAGGTGTGAGCTTGAGGACAAAAAAAGTGACTATAACAGCCAGGGCTATTATACAGTGGAACATTGTCTAAAAAAACCCACAAAACTCCCAAGTTGACCTGTGACCATGTGCTTGAGGCTTACACGTCTCTTGAATGAATTCTTGTTACCTATTTCAAGTTTCAGAATTTGGATTTTGAAGACCTTGTTTTTTATTTAGTTGTGCTGAAAATTAAACCTGGGTGTTCTACATACTAGGCAAGCACTCTTAAAACTGTGACATACCCTTGGTCCAAACCCTTTTGTTCATTTTACAAGGTAGCTATGTATATACCCAATTTGCATGCAGTCTATGTCATATGCTTACTAGGTTATAGGCTTGTGTTACTGATTGTAGAGTGACCCATATGAGTGGTGAGGTTATCTTAGAGATGGGAACTAAGTCAAAATAGACTTGTTTCATATATGTACTTAATATGTACAGTTTAGGGGACGTTCTGTACATGTTCATAAGTAGGAGGTACGTTTGCCTGGTGTCCAGGGAGGCCAGGAGAGCCTCAACTGAAACTGGGCAGGTGTTTGTGAGTACCAGGTGACTGGGTGCTGGCAATTGAATATGGGTCCTCTTCATGCAAAGGGCTAGTGACCATTGAGCCACCTTTCCATCCCTTATACCATCATTTTTATAGCGTAGATCCAGGTCCTTTATAAGAGCTATTTGCTTTACTTTCTTGTGACTTGGAAGATGATGTAATTAAATCTTTTTTTATTTTTTAATGTAGTTCGAGCTGCAAGAACACTTTTAGCCAAAAACCTCTCTTTCAACATCACTGAAGATGAATTAAAAGAAGTATTTGAAGATGCTATGGAGATCAGATTAGTCAGCCAAGATGGGAAAAGTAAAGGGTATGTATGTTTTATTAACAAGAGTTTCAGAGTTTAGTGTCTTTCCCTCTCTTGCCATTAACAGTCTGTGCTGCCTCAAACTTACTTCATAACCAGAAAACTGAATGCCTCTACCTCTCGAGTTCTAAGATTAATAATGCTTAACTGATGAGTTTTGAAGCTGTGATCAATTTTACAGTCTGGCCTCAATCCAAATTGGCATCTTTGGCTACCAGTAGTATCCTTCCCTATTTTGAGAGAAATGTGATTCTAGGCAGTCCAGTCTATTATTGTGTCGCCTCATTTTTCCTTCTTACATAATAGTAGGGAGGCCAGTTTAAAGGATGATTTCTAAAGATGAACTAATACAGTAAAAGAACAGTAAAAGCTGTTTAGTCATACCACCTGTTTTCATTAAGTTACACATGTAACTAAGTCATTACATGTATGTAAGGTTACACCATAAGTGTTGTCTAATGTATTTCATTGTGCTCCCATTATTTCAGGATTGCTTATATTGAATTTAAGTCTGAGGCTGATGCTGAGAAAAACTTGGAAGAAAAGCAGGGGGCAGAAATTGATGGACGATCTGTCTCACTCTTCTATACTGGAGAGAAAGGACAAAGGCAAGAGAGAACTGGAAAGAATAGCACTTGGAGTGGTAAGTTAAAGGGTTAATTGTGTAGTGGAGGTGGGAATCACTTGCATCTTTGTACTTTATAATTAGCTAGAGTTAGTTCACCTTTTTTATATAGCTGATTAGTTTCCATGAATGAAACCTATTTGAAATTATTTTCGTTGGAGTGTAGTAAGCAAACACAGCTTTGTTACATTTTCTGCTTTAAATGGCTTAAACTATATTTTGGAGAAATACTCTAGGACAACAAAGAACAGTTACCTGTTTGGATTGAATATGAAAGGAGCAAGAAGGGCATTACTGTATATATATATATGTATGTGTATATATATATGTATGTGTATATATAGATATATACTGTGGTGTTGGTTCTTAGGAGGATGGTTCTTAGGTTCTTAGGATTACTGTATATATGTATGTATATATATGTATGTATATATATGTATGTATATATATGTATATGTATGTATACTGTGGTGTTGGTTCTTAGGAGGATGGTTCATGGCTAAAGTGCCATTGTTCCTGTTACTGTGCCACCACCTTCTGAGGAATAGGTTGGAAACCTGCTTTATGTGGTTCACTTACTGGTTGTTTTATTACATACAGACTTTGTAACATGTCTGCTAATGTGTGGTATCTTTGTACTTGCAGGTGAATCAAAGACTTTGGTTTTAAGTAACCTTTCCTACAGTGCAACAGAAGAAACTCTTCAGGAAGTATTTGAGAAAGCAACTTTTATCAAAGTGCCCCAGAACCCACATGGCAAATCTAAAGGGTAAAATAATTTTTATGTTAGATGTGGGCTGGACATACTCTTTATTATTGTTTTGGTTTTTTTGAGACAGGGTTTCTCTGTGTAGCCCTGGCTGTCCTGGAACTCACTCTCAGAATCTGCCTGTCTCTGCCTCCCAAGTGCTGGGATTAAAGGCCTGCACCACCACTGCCGGGCTATGCATAAGATTAAAAGACTATCCTGTTGCTTTAAAAAACCGTAAAGTTTGAGCTATGCAAAGGACAGTAAATATTGATAGCATTGGTAGTACCTGCTGATTCCATGTGTTTCAAAGCTTTATTCTGAGAACTGACTTTCAATCCTCAGGTATGCATTTATAGAATTTGCTTCGTTTGAAGATGCTAAAGAAGCTTTAAATTCCTGTAATAAAATGGAAATTGAGGGCAGAGCAATCAGGCTGGAGTTGCAAGGACCCAGAGGATCACCTAATGCAAGAAGTCGTAAGTCTCTTGACTTGATGTGACTTGGTTTGGGTGACATTTTTTGATTTTATGTTTATCCATGCTTACTTGGGGCTGGCTTTACATTGTTGCTGAGTAATGACAACTGGATATGATGACTGATTACCTGAGAAACAATTGATGAAATCTCAAGAAAATTCCTCTAGATAGTCAAGTTCTGATCCAGCTATGTCAGCTCAAAGCAGCAACTTTTGGGTTTGATTGCCCCCTGAGTTCACTTAGATATGTCTGATCCGGTGTAGTCCCCCCCCCTTTTTTTTTTTTACCTTAATTTACCTGCATTAATTGCTTTTCCTGGTAAAAGACATTGTAAAGAAAAAAAAACACTGTACAAAATCAGTGTCAGGTGGCTTAGCAGTGAAGAGCATTGACTGGGTTCAAATCCCAGCAAACACATGGCATCTCACTTGCCTTAAGATCTGACACTCTCTAGAGGTATGCAGACAAAACACT